GAAAGCAACAACAGAACAAAGAAAACAAGAAACAACACAAAGGAGGGAATGAACCAACACAAGGAAACACGAACTACATATATGAACATATGTACTTGTACACATATCTATATACGCACGCACGCACGCACGCACGCACACACGCACACACACACACACACACACACACACACACCAACGTACAAAAATGGACGCAAGCTCTAAACATTGAAAACACTACTTGTCGCCGTGGAGCCCAACAGCGATATGCTGGAATTTACGGGGTGTAATCTAGACAGTGCAATACCTATGGTGTAATCGGCGTTGTGCAAACCAACGCAAAGCAACGCAAAGCAGCCCAAAGCAACGCAAAGCAACGCAATGCGATTGAAAGCAGCGCGAAGCAATGCAACGCAATACACCGCAATGCAAAACAATGCAAAGCAACGCAGAGCAACGCAATACAAAACAATGCAAAGCAACGCAGAGCAACGTAAAACAGCGCAACGCAAAACAATGTAAATCAACGCAGTGCAAAGCCGTGCACGGCAATGTAAAGCACTGCAAAGCAACGCAATGCAACGCACAGCGATACACAGCATTGCATGCACAGCAGCGCAAAGCAGCGCAACACGATGCAAAGCAATGCCCAATACGCAAGAGAGTGCAAAGCAGCGCGTTGCATGACAAGGCAAATCCACGCGACACAGGGCAAAGCAGTGCACAGCAACGCAGAGCAACGCAAAGCAGGGCAAAGCAACGCACAGCAACGCAGCGCAATGGCAAGGGACATCGTGACCGAGGACGGCGGCCCCAAGCTGGCCGGACCGACAACCAGGCCCAGCTCCTCAACAAACAAAAGCATCCCTACGTGCAAGCACTGCTTGGGGGAAAAACGTGTGCGCCGCAGCGCGGCAGGGGCAGTCCGCAGGCGCGTTCCGGCGGTCCAGGCAGCGGGAAGCGCAGATTCACCAGCGGCAGGGGGAGGGAGAGACAGGCGAAAGCGGCCGCGGGGGAGGAGGGAGGTAGGGAGGGAGGGAGGGAAGGACACTCACATGGCGAGGTGCGTCGCCGTGGAACGGCCGGGGCGGCCAGCCAGAGCTGTACCCCGTGCCTTGGGGAAAGACAGATACATACTCGAACGCATCGTCGACCTTCGATCCTCAGGCATCAATCCTCAGGAGGAGCACCCTCAGACATCAATCCTCAATACGTCGACCGTCAATCCTCAGAGATCGATCTTTGGGAGGAGCCCCCTCAGGCATCAGACCTCAATACGTCGACCGTCAATCCTCAGACACAGATCCTCAGGAAGCGCCTCCTCAGGCATCAGTCCTCGACCTTCGATCCCCAGACATCGATCCTCAGGAGGAGCCCCCCTGGCATTGTCTGAGACCCCCCGCACCCCCCCCATTCCGTGGCGGACGCCCCCCCCCCCTGGGAGCCTCGCGGGCGGAGTGGCTGGGGAGGCGGGCCCCGACTCGTCGGCCGCGCGCGGCTTCATGCGCCTCCGCGGCGGCGGGGGGAGGAGGCTGCGGAGAGGAGAGGGGGGAGAACAAGGGCAAGAGGAGGGGGAGGAGGAGGAGGAGGAGGAGGAGGAGGAGGAGAAGGAGGGGAGGGGGAGGAAAGAGGAGGAGGAGGAGAGGAGGAGGAGGATGAGGAGGAGGAGGAGGGAGGGAGGAGGGAGGAGGGAGGAGGGAGGAGAGAAGGAGCAGGAGGAGGAGGAGGAGGTAGGAGGAGGAGAGAGGAGGGGGAGGAGGTAGGAGGAGGAGGAGGAGCAGCAGCAGGAGGAGGAGGGGGAGAACGAGGGCGCCTGACTTCCCGCTTCGCGCTGCGCGGGGACCGATCCAGATCCACCGCCTGTGGAACCGACGCCCTGGGACCCCAGCGGGCGGTGGATCGGTGGCTGGGGGGAGAACAAGGGCGCCTAACTGAAGCGCCGCCCCCCCAGGGGAGAAGGAGGTACGAGGCGGGGGCGGATCCATATGCACCGCCTGTGGAACCGACGTCCTGGGACCCCGGCGGGCGGTGGACGTGGATACATTCGGGCCCCAGGGAGCCCGAATATATCCATATCCACCGCCTGTCGAGGTCTCCGAAATTCGATGCTCCAGGCGGTGGATATGTTTGAACCCCAACCTCTGAGGAGGAGAAGCAGCAGATGGAGGAGGGGGAGGAGAGGAGGAGGGGAGGAGAGAAGAGAGAAGACTCTTCTGTGGAGAGACCCCATTCATTGAAATGTAGGTTTGGTATCGAGGTTGAAAATCCAATCACGCAAGAACTCCATGTCGCAGTCCAGGAACGAATTTGTCGAATGATTCGATTCAGGGATTTCAGCAGCAATTATTGAGTTCACGGCCGCGGGATTCAATCCAGGAGTTTGGCACTTCAATGTTGCAGTCCGATTTCACGAAGTTGAAGTCTCCAACATTGAGTGCGCCCACCCCCAGTTCAGCAACCTCTTTTTTGTCCGATTGATGTCTTCATGATCACCTCAAGAGGGCCCTGAAGGCCTCACACACCAGGATGCACAGCAGCAGGGTACCCGAGTCCTGGCCGCTGAAACCCGCCAACAGGAGCAGCAACAAGGCCAGGCATAGAGCCGCCAAGACGGGCCGCCATACCAAAACCGGCGGGCCAGGAAAGAGCCGCGAAGGGCACGCAAGGCCCTCTTGAGGCCCCAAATGCCTGAAGAGTGTCCCAAAGGCTTCCCAAAGGCCTCCACGAGTCTCAGCCTGTCTACGGTTCTCACAGTCAGGAGTCTAAGTCGATGCGTTTGGGGGGTTGACAAGGCGGCCGTATCAAACCACCCCCCGGCCCTCGTTGTGTCCCCCTCCCCCTCTTCCCCCTCCTCCTTTCCCCTTCCTCCTCTCTCCCCTCCTCCCCCTCCTCCTGGAGGGGCGCGGGGGCCAGGGGTTCGGTTTGGCGGCCGCACTGTTGATCCCCCGGTGGCTGAGCGGCCGCGTCAGGGGCAACGTATCCCCCAAGGGGTACGGCTAACCCACGCCCTCCCCAGGAGGGCGCCCCCTAACAGGTTATGCTCGGGGAGGGGACTTGTGCTGTATGTTCGGGTGCTGGCGGATAGTGCCACATTGTGATCGTCCCTTCTCCTGGTCTTATTGTGAGTGCGGGGGCGGGACTGCTCAGGGGCGGTTGGGGCTACGGCTCTTTCCCTCTCGGCCCCATCTGGGGGGCAGGCCGGGGGTGCCCATGGTCCAGGCGACCCGGCTTATTCTGTCTAAGTGTTCGTGTGCTTCTGATGTGGTGCCCGTAGTGGACCCTAAGTAGCCGGTTCAGACACTTCGGTGAATCAGGTGCGATCTTCGACGTGCGCACTGGAAACCCGACAACGAAGCACCCAACATTAGTCTGGCCCCTGCGCATCGACGACACGCAAAGAAGAGAGTTGGGGCACAATAGTGTCGCGGCCTGCGCTAGTCCCGCGTCCACCCTCCTTGGTTCCAGCGTTACGGACAGCCCGGCTTGGGCGTTCGTTTTGCCGCGCTTCTGGACCGATGGCCCCAGCGCCGATGGCCTTCTTTAAGGACCATCTGGGGGGAGCAAACTCACTGCGCCCAGCGCCGGATTCCTCTGGTCGCCTGCTCCCCCCAAACCCCTTCGCGGCGGGGCTTGTTGCTGGAACGCAGAGGGGGGTGGAGCAGCGGGCTGGCCTGTTCGCGGGGGGGGGGGCGGAAGTGGAGTAGCATATACCCTAAATAACGGATGGTTGGTTGTCTTTCTGGGGTGGGTTTCAGTGTTTTTGTCGTTGTTTGGGGTATCGATCGGGTTTGTGACTCCGCTTCTTCCACTCCCACCGGGGGCCATCATTCTCTGTTTTTCGTGTGGGGTCCAATGCGCCGTCTCGGGAGGTTTTTCCCTGCCGGCCCGGGGGCCGTTCGCGGCCGTCAACCCGGAGGACGAGGACGAGGACGAGGCTTCCCAAAGGCTTCCCAAAGCGCCCCAAGGCTGCCCAAAGGCTCCCCAAAGGCGTCCCAAAGGCTTCCCATATGCCTCTTGAGCCCAAAGATGGTCACAAAGGCTTCCCAAAGCGCCCCAAGAAGCCTCCACGAGGCTCCTTGGAGGTTGCCAGGTTGGCCATTGTTGGGAACTGCTCAGGCTGACTCCAACTTGGCTTTGACTCGGGGCTCTGCTCGGGCTCCTCTCTGAGCTTCGGTTTGAAGGCTACACCCCTCTGTGTTCCACTCTCCGGCCTCCATGCTCGAAGCATCAAACCAGAGGGTTGATTCTGGACGGGCTGGTGGGGATATGCCAAAGCATCAAGGATTTAGGGAATGAAGCATAAGGTGGAGAAGGTTATGCTCAGGCCGATGACCACGCACATCCTCCGCTTTGGTCAGCGGGTGAGAGACAGGGCTGGATCTGACAACAAAACCTGGACCATCCGGCCGCACCCCCAAGCCCCAGCCTCATCTCGGGACCCGTGATGGATGCTCCCGAGCGCCATCGCGGCGGGAGGAGGAGGAGGAGGAGGAGGAGGAGGAGGAGAGGGAGGAGGAGGAGGCGGAGGAGGAGGAGGAGGAGGCGTGCGTCCCGATACTGCTGCACTGCTGGCGGCGACGCTGGGGGGCCACATGCGAACCCTACCCCTACCCCCCACGATTTCTGAGGGGGAGGGTGGGGTTCACTTCGCTCGGGAGCTCCCGGAGGAGGAGGAGAGGAGGAGGAGGAGGAGGAGGAGGAGGAGGAGGAGGAGGAGGGGGGAGGAGGAGGAGGAGGAGGAGGAGGAGGAGAGGAGGAGGAGGAGGAGAGCGGTGCGTGCACGCGAGGCCATCCCGATGCTGCTGCTGCTGGCGGCGCGCTGGGGGGCACATGCGAACCCCCCCCCCCCTCAGAAATCGTGGGGGGTAGGGGTAGGGTTCGCATGTGGTCTCCTAGACGGGCGACGTCGGACTCTCAGATGGAGGGGATGGAGGAGGAGGAGTGGGGAGGAGGAGGAGGGGAGGGGGAGAGGAGAGGAGGAGGAGGAGGAGGAGGAGGAGGAGGAGGAGGAGGAGGCGTGCGTCCCGATACTGCTGCACTGCTGGCGGCGACGGGCGACGGCGGACCCTCCGATGGAGGGGCTGGCGGCTCCCGGGCAGCCATGGCTGCCGCTGGCCTCGCTCGGCCCTCCGCTGCGCTCGGCCGCCGTCCTCTCTCCCGCGCGTGCGCGCTGCCCGCTCGTGCGCCGCGCGGGCCTGTCGCCCGCGGGCCGCGCGCGGCCCCGCCGACGCCTCGCGCCCCCTGGGGCGCCTGCGGCTCGCCCGCGAAGGAGGAGGAGGCGTGGCAGGGGCCGACCGCCCCGGCACTCCTGTCGGGTCGGGCGAAAGGGGGGGGATAGCAAAGGGGGGGTTTGAGAATCAGCTCACGCAGCTGATTTTCCCGGCGCCTCCCGGCGCCGGAGGCGGCTATGTACTGAGGAATGGGCCCCTCGGTGGGGCCGAAACCAGCTGCATGCAGCAGATTTCGTAACCCCCCCTTTCCCAATCCCCCCCTTTTCGTCCAGCCCGAACGACGAGGAGGAGGCGTGGCAGGGGCCGACCGCCCCGGCACTCCTGTGGGCCCACCACGGGATCTTCTCCGAACCCAAAAAATGACTACCTACCAGACCACCCCAACCCAACCCGAAGACCCGAATTTCGGGTTGGGGGGGGTACGGGTTCCATATGTGTTTTCTCGATGTTCCCCGACCACCCCCCACTGGAAATGGAGGTCAATTTGAGGCTTTCGGGTTGGGTTGGGGTGGTTTGTAAGAACAAAAGCAGCGTCCTCAGAACATGGACACGCTGTACGACAACGAGAGAGTACCCGCCCGGGATGTTCTCGAAACGCCTCCTGGAAACCACAAAGGGTTCTTGGAACATTGTTTGGTGAGCCTATAGGCACGCCGGGACGTTTCGCCACTGCTTGACCAAGTTGGGACGCCCGCAGCGCCGAGGTCAGCCCGCCCGGCGGCCGACCACGATGGCGTAGGACCTCCGGTCTGCCTTGGGCGCCTCCTGCAGAGGCCTCCAAGCTAGGGTTCGAGCAAATGGGGTCGGAAGATCGCGCCGCATCGCCGATGCATCGCCGATGCATCGGCGATGCATCGGCGCCGTCCGCGTGGACAAAATCAGACTCCGCATTAAACCGCATCAGCGATGCATCGGCGATGCGCGAGCAAATGGGGTCGGAAGATCGCGCCGCATCGCCGATGCATCGCCGATGCATCGGCGATGCATCGGCGCCGTCCGCGTGGACAAAATCAGACTCCGCATTAAACCGCATCAGCGATGCATCGGCGATGCGCCGCGATCCTCCGACCCCATCTACTCGGACCCTGGTTGGGAGGCCTGGATCCTCTGGCCTGAAGCGAGCGGGTCCTGAGGGAAACGGGCCCTGGGCCCCAGGCCATTCGCCCAGGGCGGGCTTTCCATCCTGGGTTGCCGAGCCTTTTTGCATAGGTTCCCAGAGTCAACAAGGCATGTTCTGACACGGAAAACGATGGGCGTGCTCTGCCTTCTCCTCTACGAGACAAGCGCGTTCCACTACTCGCACAGTAACTACTCGCAAATGGCCCGGATTCGCCGCGGAGGATTTACGATAGAACGAGGCAAACAAATGCTTTTCGACGTTCGCTCGTAGGCACTTTCCGAGCAGAGGAACGCGCTCGGTTCTCTACTAGAGGTGGAGGTGTGCGAGAGGGGGAGCTGGCGAACCACACGTCGGGTAGGGGACGCTGGGAAGGTCCCACCAATACAGCAGATACAGCAGTGCGACGTTGCGTCGGCTACGTGCCCCTCGGTGGCAATGGAATGTGTGGACTCTGGTAAATGCTCCAGCGTGCGGATCGCGTGTGCTCAGACGATTGGGGGGCGTCGCCCACGGTGGGAACGGAGGACTAAACTGTGGGGGTTCTCTTTACGATTACAGCAGCAAGCGAAACCTTCTCGAAGAATGCTCGAACGCAAGAGGACCAGGGACCAACACGCCAACATCCGACCTCCCCTACTGGCTGTGGAGCCCCCCACCCACAGCAGAGTCAATTTGCGCAGAGTCCGGAGTGCAAGGGATCAGCTAGGCTGAGCCCAAGCACGACACCGACCACACTCACGCCGACGGCTGCGACGGCGTCGACCCCGTGGACCTCCCCACGGACTACGGTCACGTCGACGACAGCGGCGCCGTCGACTCCGTGGGCCGTCCCACGGAATGTGTGCAGACAGGGACGTGCTACTCCGTGGACTTACCCACGGCACAGCAGGATATGCCAAGGGCAACGGGCATACGATCCGACAAGAACGTAGCCTGGGTCAACACCATGGGCACGCCTATGGTAGCGACGGTCTCTGGGACTACGAGCACGATGGGTTCACCTGTGGTGCGGAATGGACGGGGAAGATGTCACAGTACGACCATCGGTGCAGGTGACGCTGACGTTACCACGAGAGAGCTTACAGTACCTGCCAGCACCATGCATCGGACGCGGCCGCTACCGGCCACCGCAGCGAGCCAACCTACGGCGGGCGCGTGTGACGGCTATGGCGGCTGGCGCTACTATGGCTATGGGCCTATCATGGGCGGTTGACGACTACGACTGCGGCACAGCTGACTACGGCATCGACGGGACTGCAGCCACGTCGCACAGCAGCACTGACGGCAGCAACCATGGGACGGCAATGGATGCTAACGACGGGCCTTTTGGTACGGCGGATTTGCCTTTACAGTTTGGGCGCCATGCGCAACTTCGCGGTGGGGCTCCAGCAGACGACTTTCATCAGCTACTGGATCCACTCACGAAGGTGATTCACGGTTTCCGAAAACACGAAGACGCTGCACCACCACCGCCACCGACAGGTTGGCGGCGGAAACGGAGCAGGCGACAACGGCAGAACCAGAGCAACGCGCAACATGTTGTTGGGAAACTTCAGAAGGTAGTGGCCGACGCATCGTGGACAGTGGAACACGTGCTCAAATCGTTGGAGACGGTCATGCTACAGGCGCGGTAAGGAAAGCACACCACACCAGCGGAACGGGTGGAGGCCCAACCGCGGGCGGGCCTGCCAGGGACAGGGGGGACGACGGAGACGGCCGCGACGCTGGCTCCCGGAGGCCCCTTGGCCGGTGGAGGACGGCAGGAGATACTCCCCCGAGGCTCGCACGGGAGGGATGGGTGACGGGACAGGTGGTGACTGGAGCAGCCTGGGACAGGTTACTCATGGACGACAACGCACAGCGGCAGCGGAGGTAAAGCTCATCGCGACTGCCCGGACGGATGTGCAGCGATACTTGGATAGTGCCAGGGCGCATCAGATCACCCACCACAAGACTGGTGTCGTCTACAAAGGTGCTACGGTTGATGGGATCGAGGCTCAGACCAAGAGGTTCCGGATCGAATGACCAGACTAGGTTAACCACATGCAGGCACTAAACGTGACGGCGCTCACTGGGAATAGGTTGCCCTACACGATGTGGTCCTGCAATGTTCGGAACAAAGCCAGGGCGTGGCAGGCGGCGCGGATTGCCTACAACGACGGGGTGGGCGTCATTTGCCTGCGGGAGTTGGGACTACGGTGCGGTCGTTGTGCAATACGGCGTACAACAATCGTTACCGGGCACACAGTGTGCCAGCCAATTCTGGCCCTTGCGGATCGCGGGGGGGAGTGGTCACGCTGGTAAAACGCATTGTATGGTCGTGGCACCACCTGCAGAAAGCTGGGGCTCCTGGTCAGGTTCTGGCTACGTTGGTGGAGGGTGTTGTTGTGTTCAACCTATGGAAGGCGCCTGTGGCAAAAGTGGACCATGTGATGCGTATCGTCAGCGACTGCACGAATGCAGACGGCATGGCCTCCTGGCTGGGATTGGAACACGGTACGGGCGGAAGTACCCGTGCCGAGGGGAACACTGCCAACGCGAGATGGTACGCGACGGGCAGGGCAATCCCCTACCTACGAGATGGGACACCTCACGATGCATCGACCACGCTGTGGTGTACAACTGCGAAGTACGTGCTGGGGGCTTCGACGGGAGGGCGGTGGCGAACAACAAGGTCGTAGCATTCGGGGCTGACCTATGTCGACGGCCCCTGTGTGTCGAGTGGGAGCTGGGCAGACACCAATGCGTGGGCAAACCTGACGGTGTCGACGCGGAGCGTTGGCACAACGTAGTACGGAGACAGTGGGACCAATACGAACACATCTGGAGGGATGCCGTGCACGACGCGTCTCTCGTCAAGGTCAAGGGAAGGTCGGACGCGCAGCGTTGGGTACACGACCTGTGGCGGCAGCTCGATGCTACTATGGATACGACGGGGGAACGGGCCTGGCTCATGCTGCAGGAGGCCGTGGAGGCCGAGGCGAGCGGACTGGGACCGGAGGAGCACGACGACGGCATATGAGGCACCACAACCGCATCGTGCGCATGTCACAGAACACCCCCTCGGGGTGTCACGAGGGCGAGGTCGAGCTGAACCGAGAGCAGCTGCGGGCCGGCTGCGGGGCTCCGCAAGCCGCCCTTCCAGAAGCGCCGGCTCGCGAAGCACGCCGCGGGGTGCGACAGGCTGCTGCACTCGGCGCGCCGCGGCCAGGGGGGGGAGCAGGAGGAGCCCCGAGTGCTGCAGCAACGCCCGCGTGCGGCGGCAGCTCGCCTTCGGCTGCCGGCGGGCGACGGTGCGGAACGGTGGCAGGAGCTGCAGTCGGACCCCGGCCAGGAGAACATCCCTCAAAATTGGACCCTCCGTCGGCCAGGGCACCCTCCCCAGGATGCACGAGAGCCTCCAACAGGCACGAAGAACACTGAGGGCACCCTCTCCGAACAGACCTCGATCCCACACCCCGGTCCGACTGCACGACGGGACGCGGAAAACCGACTACGGGTGGAGCGGGACCGGGCACGGGCAGCGCGGCTACGACGATGGGAGACCGGGCTCCGGAACAGCCGCCGACGGATACTCAACCGGTTGCGTGGAGAGGCGCCCGCGCGGGGCGCGCCACTGCACGACGACAGCAGCGCCGCCCCTGCTGCGATCAGCACCACCACGAGCGCGGAGGAGGCGCTGCAGCTGCTTTCAAAACGGTGGCGGGGAGTCTGGGACCGGGGACGTCCCAGAAAGGTGGGAAGACAAACCGCGGGCGTGGACCGAGCGGCTCCCGCAACGGGATTGGGACGACCACGACGTATTTGATGTGCGGGGTGCGATGGACCGACAGCGGGGCACGGCGGCAGGTACCAACGGATGGTCTGGGGCAGAAGTGGCTGACCTGGGTGGCATCGTGGCCCCGGCCGTCGCCGCAGTTTGGGCGCCTGCGAGACGGCAGAGGCCCTCCCGAGTCCGCGGTCAGAGGCGCGACAGATCCAGCTCCCAAAAGAGAGCCCGCCGGCGGGGGGAGGAGCCACGCCCGTCTCACAGCTCTGACCGATCGCGGTGGTCAGCTCATGGTACGGGGCCTGGGCCACAGCCCGCCTGCGATCTCCCTCCTGCGCCGCCTGGTGCAGGGAGTGGTGGCGGCAAGAGGCCCACGCAACAAAGGAGGGTCCTACGGTGCACGACGACGCGGCACGGATCATCGGTGCCCTGGAGGCCGACGAATTCGGCACGTCTTGGGACTGCAGCTTGGCGTTCGACCAGGCACATCCTGCGGCAGCAGCGACAGCAATGGAACAGATGAGTATGCCCAGCCACTGTGCGAAGATGCGGGGGAGGCAATGGACCAACCAACGACGGTGGCTACAGCTACACGGGGCCACTTCCAAGCAACCAGAAGACGTGCCCACCTCCCTCCCACAAGGGGGATCCGTGGCCCGCCTTGGACATTACGGCCGTGCTCACGGGTCCGCTCTGCAAGGCTGCCGCGCGGGGACCCAGGGGTTAGCACCGCGCTGTACGTCGACGACCGTACGTCGGCGTCTCGCACTCTCGGCAGTACGCTTGGCGCCGCGGCCATCTGGGACGACTGGTAACAAGCCCTGGGTATGGTGGAGAGAGACGGCAATCAGCAGCGGGCGCCCCGGACCTCGCCAAAGCGGCGGCAGCTGCAGGAGCGGGGTGTCCGCGCGCACGTCATCTTCCCAAGCCGGACAATCCGTGTGGATGAAGCTCTCTGGAGGGAAGCACGAGGCCGCCAGCGCCAGGGAGGCCAGGCGCATGTCCAAAGCACAACGACAGGTTGGATGCGCGCGGCTGCTGCCGCTCCCTCCCCGACGGCGGCAGGAGGCGACAACTGCGGGGCCACTCTCTTCGACTCGGTACGGTTGCTTCGACTCCACGCCGCCGCGCGCGGCCACGGACAAGCTCCAGGCGGCCGTCCACAGCGCCGCTGATGTACCGCGGCGGTCGTCGCCACACATCAAGTGCCTGGTCGTGGGCCACCAGGTCGACGCGCGGCCCCGCGCGCAGCAGGAGGCGCTCGTCGCCGCCTCGCGGGCTGCATCCGGAGGAACGAACGACGGCAGCACGCCGAGCGCGCGGGGGACCGGACGGACCCTGGCAGGCACTGTCCAACGGGTGGAGGAGTACAGCACAATGGAAATGGTACCACCACGGGGTCGACGAGACGATCTCCCTGGACAGCGCGCATGAGCACTGTCGCTCGCCCAAGTTCCTGGGCCACATACCACGGGAAGCGTGGCGGCATCACAAACTCCCAGGCTGGTTGGGTACGACACGTAACGACGCGCAGGCGCGCAGGACTGCCCACCACGACGCGAAGCGGCTCAAGCCCGTCATCGCCAGTGCGCAGGGGCACCCGTCTATACTTTGGCGGTGCTCACAGGAGGCCGTGTGTCACCTGCCCCCTTCGAGCGGGGCCAAGAGAACGACCCTTCGATGGAATGCCCGTGGCGTGCGGGCGCTGTGCCAACAACCGGCCACCATGGTGTGGGAGTACCAAGGGGAGGCCTTCCGGGGCCGGCCTCGTGCCCGCCCCAGGGACGCTCCCCAGAGACGCCCGGGTTGGCCCACGGGCGAAGTACGACAGAAGGGGGTGGACCGGCGGTTGCTGTTGTGGGTGGCAGATGTCAGGACCACAATCTTCGATCACAAGTACAAGCGTGCTCGTCACACGTATTTTTTGCGCCGGCAGGGACCTCTGGCCCCTATTTTGTTTCACAGGTACGGTGATGCTTGTCACAGGTACTTTTGCGCCGACGGGGACCTCCTACCGCAATGTTGATTCACAGGTACGGTAGCGCTCATCACAATTATTTCTGCATCGACGGGAACCTCTAACCACAGTTGTGGTTACAGGCGCGGTGGAGCTGTCAATTGCCTTCAATCACACTTTTGGGTCAGAGTTACGGCGGTGGTCGTTACAGGTACTACTGCGCCGACGGGGACTTCTAACCCCCTTTTTCCTACAGGTTCCAACCGACTCTGCTTTGGACCTTCCTTCAGGCGAGATCATCGTGAAGACCTTCGTCTTTGCCAACGTCCTTATCGCCTTCGATCACAGATGTGGGTATGAGGTACGGCGGTGCTCGTCACATCTGTGTTTGCACCGACGGGGCTTCTAACCCCTCTTTCCTTTCAGCCCCAAATCACTCTGCTTGGGGCTTCCTTGAGGCGAGGTCACCGTGAGGGCCTTCGTCTTTGCCAACATACTTATTCCATAGGTTCCCAAAAGTGCCATCAGTCGCATTCGCACTCTGTCTCCTCGTGCACGTGTGCATCGCGTGCGTTACGCTGCAGCCATTTGGGCCCATGCCTGACGAAGGGGGCCAAGAGCTCCCGAAGCGCTTCGCATACACTGGACGGCGCCTTGGGACGCCGAAAACGGCGACAAACCTCAGAACCCGTTTCCCTCGGAACTCGCTTGCTTCACGGCGACTCCTCGGAGGGGCCCGCGGCACTGGCCGTCCCCGGCCTGTCCGGCGCGGGCCTGGTGTCGACGAGCTCGGCGCAGGCGAGCTCCAGGCCCACGAGCTGCAGGTCGTCCTCGATGTCCTCGGGGCTGGCCGCGCCGCAGGGGACAGTCGGGAACACGATGTCCAGCCCGCCGTCGCCCCCGGAGCCGAGGGTGCCCCCCCCTGGCAGGGCGCCAGCTGCACATGCTTCTGCACCGGCCCTTGCCAGGCCCGTCCTGGGCCCAGCCGTTGTACGGCAGCTTCGTGTCGTGACGGCGTCGGCGCTGGGTTCTAACACCGCGCGGATCGCCCAGGGCGGTTGCGCGGCAGCTTCGCGTCGCGACGGCGTCGGCACTGGGTTCTGACACCGCACGGATCGCCCAGGACCGTGGTACGGCAGCTCCGTGCCGTGACGGCGTCGGCGTTGGGCTCTGACTCCGCGCGCGGAATCTTTCACTCTTGAGCGATCGCGGCTTTCCGATAGCGTAGATCTCTCGATCTCGGCCAGCTCCGGGCCACCGGTGGCGTCTGCCCTCGAGCGCACGAGGCTGCGGTCGCCGCCTCGTCGCCGCGGCACGAGCCTATACCCTGCGCCCTTCCTGGCTTGGCCAGGGGGGACACACTTTTGAAGCCAGCGGCGCAGGAGGGTCCTCCTCGGGCGCGGGCAGCAGATGGAAGTGCTGCTTGCGATCGAGCATGATTGAAAGCACAGCGAGATAAACGTCAATCACTGACCTGGGGGCCACACGCAGACACAAACACACACACACACACAAACACACACACACACACCGATTCTGGTCCCAGGACTGGCTGGGCGAGGGCCAGCGCCGTTGCACATGACCGTTTTTGCCGCCTGGCCTCGCGCGGCCACGACCACCACGACCATGCCTTGGCGGCGCGAGGGGGGGGGGGCGGCCATCCCAGCTGAGGGGCAACAATACGGGGCGAGGGCTGGCGTAGGGGGGGGAACATTGACCTGGAATCGGCGATACATCGCCGGTAGAAGGGCCCTGCAAACCCCGACCCACGACGTAACGATTTTGTCAAAAAGTCAACCGCCAGGGGTCTCGACCCATTCCCTGGGACCGACGCTTCATCCCGAGTCGATTTCTGACGGCCCATAGACCCCGTAAGGGCCCCCAGAGGCCGCAAATAAGGAAAAACCTCCTGTCGTGGATTTAACATGGCCCGATGGTGCATCGCGTCGTCGTCGTCGTCCTCGCGGTCGTCGGCCGTCGGTCGTCGGTCTTCGGTCGTCGGTCGTCGGTCGTCGGTTGTCGGTGTCGTCATCGTCATCGTCGTCGTCATCGTCTTCGTCATCCGTCGTCGTCGTCGACGTCAACCGTCAATCGTCGCCTTCGACGTCGTCGTCGTCGTCCTTCGTCGTCGTCGCCGACGTCCGGCGTCGTCGTCGTCGGTCGTAGTCGTGGTCGTCGTCGTCGGTCGTCGGTCGTCGGTCGTAGGTCCTCGGTCGTCGGTCGTCGGTCGTCGGTCGTGGGTCGTCGATCGTGGTCGTCGGTCGTCGGTCGTCGTCGTGGTCTTCGTCGTCGTCGTCGGTCGTCCGGCGACGTCGTCGTCCGTCGTCCGTCGTCCTCGTCGTCGTCGTCCGTCGTCGTCGCCGTCGTCGCGGTCATCGGTCGTCGGTCGTCGGTCGTCGGTCGTCGTCGTCGTCGTGGTCTTCGTCGTCGTCGTGGTCGTCGTCGTCCGCGTCTTCGTCCATCGCCGTCGTCGTCGTCGGTCGTCGGTCGTCGGTCGTCCGTCGTCGGCCGTCGGTCGCCAGTCATCAGTCGTCCGTCGTCGGTCGTCAGTCGTGGTCGTGGTCGTAAGTCGTGGTCGTGGTCGTCGTCGTCGGTCGTCTGTCGTCGGTCGTCGGTCGTCGGTCGTCGGTCGTCGGTCGTCGTTCGTCGGTCGTGGTCGTCGTCGTCGTCCCTGGTCGTGGTCGTGGTTGTCGTCGGTCGTCGTCGGTCGTCGGTCGTCGGTCGTCGAACATCATCGTCGGTCGTCGGTCGTCTTCGGTCGTCGGTCGTCGGTCGTTGGACGTCGGTCGTCGTTGTCGTCGCCGTCGTCGGTCGTCGGTCGTGGTCGTCGTCGTCGTCCGTCGTCGTCGTCGTCAAAGTTTCGTCGGTCGTCAGTCGTTGGTCGTCGGTCGTCGGTCGTCGATCTTCATTCCTGGTCGTGGTCGTCGTCGCCGTCGTCGTGGTC